GATGAGCCTGTCCTTCTCCATAAGACCACCTTTAAAGCTCTTGCTTAAGAGCACCTGCTCTGAAGACAGTCTTGCTTTAAGTCCTGGGTGGTAGGCAGAGTAATGCCCCCACCTCTCCAAATGTGTCCACATCCTCGTCTCTGGAGTCTGTGGATATGTTACCTTCCATGATAAAAGGGATTTTCTAGATTTGATTAAGTTAAAGACCTTGAGATGGGGAGATTATCCAGGTCATCCCAATATAATTACGAGGGTTGGGTCCTTATAAGACGCAGACAGGAGGGTCTGAGTCTGAGAAAGAGGTGTGATAACATAAGCAGAGGCAAAAGTGATGTGGGGCCACGAGCCAAGGAATTCAGGTAGCCTCTAGAAACTGGAAAAGGCAATAAAACAGAAGGCTCCAGAAGGAATGCATCCCTGCCAACTCATCTTAGACTTCTGAACTCCAGAAGTATAAGGTAATAAATTTGTGTTGTTTTTAGCCACTCAATTTGTGGTAATTTGTTATAGCAGCCATAAGAAACTAATACATCCTGGTTTTGCTTCTTTCTAGTTATGTGACATTGGGAAATTTACTTAACCTCTCTGTGCTTCAATTTCCTCATCTGTAAAATGGAAATGATAATGGCAGTAATTCTTATCTCACAAGGTTGTGAGGATGCAGTGAGAATACCTGCAAATCACTTAGAATAAAGCCCAAGACTAAATATGTTAGCTATTATTATAAGGACAACTAATACCTACATTAGTTGAGGTCCTAATATGTACCCGACAGAGTGTCAGGTGTCTTAGAAGAACTTACTCAATTCTCATCATCACTCTTGGCGGTAACAATTTCAATCCTCACTTACAGATAAGGAAACAAACACAGAGCAATTTACCCCAAATCACTCTAGAACATAAGCATTTTAAACTTTGCAGTTTCTTGCACGCAGCTGGGAAATGGGGGCATTTGTGTTCTTTACTGATAGAGGGTTTTGGGGGGGAGGGGAACAGGAGGTGTGGGAGGTGGCAGAGGGAGGGTCACAGGCTGGACAGACAGAGGCCCGCTCTATGCCAGGGTTCCTAGCTGATAATATCTCTTCCTACCAGTGCAGTGGGAGATAAAATGCAGATGAAAATCATCTGTCCGCCCCCACCCGTCCACTCAGGGGCTCAATTACTGCCTCCTTCCTCGCCAACTCCCCACCACCACCCCAGCCCAGTCCTAGCAGCTTCTGAGCCAGGTTTGAGACACCATGAGATAGGCATGCCCTGAGAGTGAAGTGTTCAGTTTGCTGGGGGATGGCGGGTGGCGAGCGCAGACGTGCTCAGACCCCAGGAGTTTCCGTTGAGCCCCTCCCCACAGCCTGCATAAGGAGCCATCTGTTCTCGGCTGAATAAACAAGGAGGGCGCAGCAGCGCCGGGTCCCTCGCCCCCCAGCCCGACCCCCGCACAATGCGCCTTTCTCCAAGGAGACGCCACCAGGGCGCCGCTTGAGCGCGCTCCGTCTGGCCTCCCCTCCCCCTGGCGGCACAGCAAGACCCACAAACCGACCCCGTGGAAACCAGTTTTCGTTTTTGTTTTTTTAAGAAAAAGAAAACAAAAAAGAAATCCAACAAAGAACTGAGCGCGGCACGTGGCGAGGGCCTACGGGTCTGGCGCGCGCCTCCCACCCAGGGCCATCCCTTCTCCACAGTCCAGCTGCTGGTCCAGGCGAGGCCAGCTCGAGCGCAGCGCTGGGAGCCCGCCAGCGCCTCCTCCGCGACAGCCCAAGCCCGAGGGGCACAGGTCCTACCCGGAGCGGGCGCCCGACGGCGCGCGAGGGGCGCAGTCCGCGTGGCCGCGCCCCAGCCTGGCTCTGGCCACCAGCGGCCCTCACTTCTGCTTGGCCAGCTGGTTCTCCAGATCCTCCAGGCGCGCCGTCAGCTGGGCCAGTGAGCGGTTAAGGAAGCCACTGGGGTTCGCGGGGGTCCCTTCACCCCTCCAGCTGATGCCCTCAGACCCAAAGGATATGGTTCTGCGTGAGGCTCTCGAGCGCCCCCAGCGTGCTGCCCTGGAACTCCACGAGGCTTTCGCATTCGCACGGGCTTCGGAGCTCTGTCCCGGCGCTGATGCCCTCCTCTGCAAGCCAGGCACAGAGTCAGGAGAATGAGAAACGGAGGCCGAGCCGGCCCGGCCTTAGCACTCGGATTTACCTGTGATTGAGTGTATGGGCTTTGGATTCAGACAGACCGGGGCTGAGTTCCAGCCAAGTAGCTATAGGATTGGAAAACTCACTTAACTTTCCTAAGCCTCACTTTCCCCATCTGTACAATGAATATGAGAGAACATATTCGTTGGTGGTTGCAACGACTCAATGGTGTGTGTGTGTCTGTGTGTGTGTGTGTGTGTGTGTTACAACTTACAACAGTGTTTCTCAAACTTTAATGCTCACTGGAATCATCAACAGAGCTTGTTAAAATACCTACTGTGATTCAGAATAGGGAAGGAGCTGAGAATCTACATTTCTAATAAGCTCCCAAGTGATGCTGCTGCTGCTGCTCTGTGGGCCACGCTTTAAGTAGGAAGAGTTCAGAGCAGCACTCTCCAGATGAAACTCTATGCAATGTGGAAGTGTTCTACATCTGCTCTCTCCAATGCAGTAGCCACAAGCCACATGTGGCTACTTAACACTTGAAATGTGGCTAGTGCAACCAAAAAATTAAATTTTAAAATTTTAATTAAGTAAGCACAGGCAGCTACTGCTTACCTTATTGGAAAGCACAGATCTAGAATACTGACCGGCACAAGTAAACACTTTAGAGTGCATTTCAACTAGACCAGCAGTTTTCAAAGAGTTGTTGCTGGACCAACAGCACCAGCATCACCTAAGAATTTGTCAGAAATGCAAAGTACTAGATCCCACACAGACCTACTGAATCAGAAAATCTGGAATTGGAGCCCAGAAAATCGTGTTTTTAAAAGCCCTCCGGGTGACTCAGATGCACACTAATGTTTAAGGACCACTGACCCAAGTCCATCTCCCCACACATTTTAACATCTCTGAAGAAAAAAAAAAAAAAAAAAAAAAAAAGAAAGAAAGGAAAGGAAGTCATACA